CTTAGAGAGGGCTGCCAAGCACTGTAAAGCAGTATATAAGTCTAAGTGCTATTGCTAGTCCAATTCCATGCCCAAGGAAGAGTTGTTATATCGCCTTTATATCATCCTGGACAAATGTTTGTCCATATAAGAATGGCCTTGCTGGTTCAGACTAAGTCCATCCTACCTGTCCAGGTAGTTTTTATATGTAAAGACTAACTAAATCAAGTGTCTCCACTCTCCAACCTTGGCAACCTTAAAACTTGTGGACTCCCAGAATTTCTCAGTCAGCCATGCTGGTTGAGGAATTCTGGGAGTTGAAGTCTACAAAGTTTTCAAGGTTGGAGATCCCTGATTTAAATCATTCTTTTTATGCTTTAGCTTCCAACTAAGGCAGAGGTGAAATCCAGCAGGTTCTGACAGGTTCTGGAGAACCGGTAGCAGAAATTTTGAGTAGTTCTGAGAACCAGCAAATACCATCTCTGGCTGGCCCCCAGAGTGGGGATGGAATGGGGATTTTGCAGTATCCTTCCCCTGGAGTAGGGTGGGAATGGAGATTTTGCAGTATCCTTCCCCTGCCATGCCCACCAAGCCACGCCCACAGAACTGGTAGTAAAAAAAAAATTGAATTCCACCACTGAACTGAAAGGAGAGAAGCAATTTAGGACTAAGGGGAAATTTCCCGACAGTGAGAACATTTAATCAGTGGAACGACTTGCCTCCAGAAGTTGTGGATGCTCCAACACTGGAAGTTTTTAAGAAGATATTGGACAATCATTTGTCTGAAGTGGTGTAGGGTTTCCTGCCTAAGCAGGGGGTTGGACTAGAAGACCTCCAAGGTCCCTTCCAATTCTGTTATTCTATTCTATTCTATTCTAACTATTCTATTCTATTCTACCAAATCTTGCCACCAGATTGCATCTTCTTTTTCTTTCTTTCTACAACTCAGAAGGGGGGGAAAAATGACAATTAAATGCAGAGGGACGGAGTAACCATCACATGCATCACATTCAGTTAACCATCTTTAGGCTAGCTGGAGGGAAACGAGGGGAGGCACGGGGGTGACCTTAAGACGAGGGAGCTTAGAAGTTCCTCCAACGGAGTTGGGTTTGATTTGAGCTTCTCTTTCATCCCCCCCCCCCCCAGTTCCCTCCTGGCCTATTGTTTTCTTTCTTTCCAGCTTTTGTTCCATGATATAAGCTCAAGGTGCTTTGCAAAGTTCAAAACAAAGTGAGCCTCCAACTCGGTGGCTGAAGCTTTAAAAAAGGAAAGAAAGGAAGGAAGGAAGAAAGAAAGAAGTCCTTGGATTAATTCTTGGCGTCTCCAGTTATAAAGGATCATACAGAGGAAGGTGATGGAAAAGGTTGTTTTGGCTTCTTTGGAGTCAGAGGGCTCCTGGCCATGAGGCCCGGCACAGAAAGGGGTCTCAAGCAGCAGAGGGTAGAGGCAGCACCAAGGCCTGGCAAAGGGAGAAGGGCCCAGCCACATGGTTTCTCTTGTACCTTCTGTATTAAGGTAGACGGTAGATAAGGCTCGCTTCTATAGTTTTGCTTCTAGCAACAGCCCTATGAAGTCAGATGGGCTAAAAGAGGGAGTCTTTTCTTTTCTTTTCTTTCTTTCCTTCCTTTCTTCCATTCCTTCTTTCCTCCTTTCTTTCTTTCTCTTTCTTTCTTTCCTTTCTTCCATTCCTTCTTTCCTCCTTCTTTCTTTTGTTCTTTCTTTCTTTCTTTCCTTTTTCTTCCTTTCTTCTTCTTTCCTTCCTACCTTTTCATTGTTTCTTTCCTTTCTTTCTTCTTTCTTTCTTTTGTTCTTTCTTTCCTTCCTTCCTTTTTTCCTTTCTTTTTCCTTCCTTCCTTTCTTCCTTTTCATTCTCTTTCCTTTCTTCTTTCTTTCTTTTTCTTTCTTTCTTTCTATCGTTCTATCTTTCCTTCCTTTTTCCCTTCCTTCCTCCTCCTTTCTTTTGTTCTTTCTTTCCTTTTTTCTTTTTTCCTTTCTTCTTCTTTCCTGCCTACCTTTTCATTGTTTCTTTCCTTTCTTTCTTTCTTTTTGTTCTTTCTTTCCTTCCTTCCTTTTTTCCTTTCTTTCTTTTTCCTTCCTTCCTTTCTTCCTTTTCATTCTCTTTCCTTCTTCTTTCTTTCTTTCTTTTCTTTCTTTCCTTTCCTTTTTCCCTTCCTTTCCTCCTCCTTTCTTTTGTTCTTTCTTTCTTTTGTTTTTCTTTCTTTCCTTTTTTCTTCCTTCCTTCCTTCTCATTGCAATGAACATGCAATGAATGTTTGTGTTGCTGCAGAGAGTCTCCCCCTTCAGGGTCTTTTTGTGCGGGTTGGAAGGGGGCAGAAATTCCAACTTGGGGTCTGTTTCGGCCTCCTGGTGGGGGGCTTTGGGCGAAGGCTGGAGGGAAGGACCACTGGTGGCAAAGAGCCGGAGGGCCTCGTTCCAGTGGGACTGCATCATGGCCTGGAACTGGCTGACCATCTCAGCCCACTGAGCTTCAAGGCGCCGGTACCTGGCCTTGCACTCCTGTAGGTCTTCCCTCTGTTTGGAAAGCCTATGCTCCTAGTCCTCAGTGAGGTGCTTCCGCTGAGCCTCCTTCTCAGCCAGATCGAATTTGAACTGAGCTGTTTTGCCAACTCTTTCTCGTGGTGGCTGCTTAGCTCCAACAACTGCTTCCTGTTGGGGTCCTAAGGACCCCGCATGGGCAGGCAAGGAGTGGCCAGGAGGGGAGAGGCGAACAGAGGCTGGCAAGGTGCCCCTCAATGTGAGTGACATCGAGTTGGACACACCCACCCAGTCACATGACCACCTAGCCACGCCCACCTAGCCGGTCATTAGGCAGATCGTATTAGTGGTCTGCGGGATGGATGGATGGATGGATTGATTGATTGATTGGTTGGTTGGTTCGATTTATATGCCGCCCTTCTCTGGAGACTCAGGGCGGCTTACAATGCGTTAAGCAATAGCTTTCATACTTTTGTATATACCTGCTTAGTAGGGCTTTCGGGCCCCCCCAAGCGGTATTCTTTTTTATACAAAGTCAGCTTATTGCCCCCACAATCCGGGTCCTCATTTTACCTACCTCGGAAGGATGGAAGGCTGAGTCAACCTTGAGCCAGGTGAGAATTGAACTCGCAGTAATTGCCGGCAGCTGGTGCTACTTAACAGCACTTTAGTCTGCTGCGCCACCGAAGCTCTTTAAATTTAAAATTATGAATTTAATGGTCCCTGAGGTCCGAAAGGTTGGCGACCCCTGCCCTAGACCATTTCAGACAAACGGTCTAAACATTTGACAAATACTTTTTTTAGGCTGGATTGGAAAATAGAGGAAACCCCCAGCCTGGTTCTTAAGCAAGTGCCTTCACACGGACACACACACACCATGACACCAAATTTGAGGAAATTAAAAAAAAAAAAAAGGCAAAGCTTCCCCCCCCCCACCGCAGGGAGCAGAGTTTACGACAGGGCTCTACGCATTTCTGATTGAGGAGCTGAGCATCTGCCGAGGGTCCCTCCTGCCAAATCGTAATTCTTCATGGCAACGGTCCCTCCTGCACAGAGGCTTAAGGTCCTTAAGCACCGAGTGCCAGGAATCTCAAACAGGATAATTCCATGACCTGGAAAAATCCACCAGATGCATTCCACATCTGTCCAGTCTGGGAAAACCTAGAGTTGAGTGAAAAGCGGGGTGGGAATGGGGATCTCGGACATGTGCGAAAGGCAGCGAAGACGACAGGGTTTTTTTGCGGGAAGAGAATAACAGAGTTATTGCAAAACCTGCAAGATTTTGACTGATGGGCTTTTTGCAGAAACGACTGGTTCGGGCTATTTTGCTAAAACAAAAAGTTGTGCTTTTTTGATATGTATGGCCCTATTCTACTGTCACGGAGAGAGTCGGAAGTCAATGTTTCCTTTTCTCTCGCTATCCTTCCTCACTTTTCTTTTCCCTTTTCCCTTCCTTCTCACTGGAGGAGTGAGATATATGACAGATAGATGATAGATAGATAGATGATAGATAGACAGACAGACAGACAGACAGACAGATAGATAGATAATAGATAGACAGATATAGAGATAGAGATAGAGATAGAGATAGAGATAGAGATAGAGATAGAGAAAGAGATAGAGATAGAGATAGAGATAGAGATAGAGATAGAGATAGAGATAGATAGACAGATGATAGATAGATAGATGATAGATAGATAGATAGATAGATAGATAGATAGAGAGATAGAGAGATAATAGAGAAACAGAGAGAGAGAAAGAGAGAGAGAAAGAGAGAGAGAGAAATAATATAGTAAGCCAAGCACTTATTTCAGGTTCAAAAAAAATATAAGACAGGGTCTTATTTTCGGGAAACACAGTAAATAGATTAGATAGATAGATAGATAGATAGATAGATAGATAGATAGATAGATAGATAGATAGATAGATAAACAGACAGACAGACAGACAGACAGACAGACAGATGATAATGTTGATGTTGATGTAGATAAATAAATATAGATAGATGATAGACAGATGATAGACAGATAGACAGATAGACAGAGACAGATAGACAGACAGATAGACAGATGATAGATGATAGATGATAGATAAATAGATAGATAGATAGATAGATAGACAGATGATAGATAGATAGATGATAGATAGATAGATAGATAGATAGATAGATAGAGAGGGATGGATGGATGGATGGATGGATGGATGGATGGATGGATGGATGATGGGTGTGTGGGTGGGTGGGTGGAGGGATGGACAGACAGAGAGACAGACAGATAGATGTAAGAAAGAGATAGAGAGAGGGAAGGAGGGGCAGAAAGAGAGAGAGAAAAGACAGAGAGACAGACAGAGGTAGTAGCAATGGTGACTGAGGGACATGTAACCATGGGCATCTTGTCCTTCTAAGGTTTGCCATCTTAGCTGGTACCCAACAGTAGTTAACCATTTAAGCTATGGCCGCATCGAGGAGACGGCCGTGTCATTTGATGGGCAAGAGATTGATTGGCATGAGAACCGCAGGTCTTTACCTCTGTGATGATGAAAAAGTCGTCTCCCGGCTCTCCCTGGACCACAATTTTCTCGCCATCCTCAAACTGGACCGTCTCTAGCGCATCGGCCACCGTCAGACGCTCCCATTTGTCCAGCGATCCTAAGAGACGAAAGAGCACAAGTGAAATTTGGACTCGCGTCTCCTGCCCGCTTGTCTCTGGCAACCCAACAGGGCAGGTCTCATTCTGCCTTATTCAACACCCAACATCGGTGGCTGTGGACTATGGACACTGGAGTCCAGCGATGATGGAAGCCACGTGTTAGATTTCTGCATCTGCTTCTCTGCACTGTTACGTAGAGGTAGACTTACGACCGCTAACAAGCCCAAGATTTCTGTTGCTAAGCGAGACATGTTATGTTAAGTACGTTTTGCCCCCTTTTATGACCTTTCTTGCCATGTTTGTTAAGTGAATCCCTGCGGTTGTTCACTTAGTAACATGGTTGTTCAGTGAATCTGAATTGTAGAAGAGGCATTGTGAAAACAGTTCAAGAGTTGGCACCTCTTTTTGAGGACGCAGGAAGCCCAAATGCCCATTTTCTCACCCCTTCCTTCGATTTTGGCTAAGCGTTTCCATCAAGCCAGCTTCTGAGATTTCTAAACCATGATTTAGGACTGACTGGGGATCATGTGACTCTGGGGAACGCTGCAACCGTCATAAATATGAGCCAGTGGCCAAGCGTCCGAATTTTGATCACGTAACCAAGGGCATGCTACAACGGTCGTAAGTGTGAGGAACGGTCATAAGTCGCTTTTTTCAGTGCCGTCGTCACTTCAAACGGTCATTAAACAAGTTGAGGACTACCTGTAAAGTAGTTATTCCTGTCACTACAGGCTGATGCTTTTTGCTCGTGCTGGATTCTGGTTGATTATTATTTATTTATTATCGTTTATTAAATATATTGGCCGCCCACTTTACCGCAAGCTAACTTTGGGCGGCTTACAATATTAAAAACGGTAAAGGTAAAGGTTCTCCTCGCACATGTGTGCTAGTCGTTCCCGACTCTAGGGGGCGCTGCTCATCTCCGTTTCAAAGCCGAAGAGCCAGCGCTGTCCGAAGACGTCTCCGTGGCCATGTGGCCGGCATGACTCAACGCCAAAGGCGCACGGAACGCTGTTCCCTTCCCACCAAGTTCTCCAGTTCTCCAGAACCTGTTAGAACCTGCTGGATTTCACCCCTGACTATAATCCTGGAACAAACCATAACCAAGTTTTTTTTTTTAAGACTAAAAGCTCAACCACGACCCTCGTGCTTATGGCTGACATCTCCCACTACCACTCACCCCCCCGCCTCCGAGGTTTATTGTCTGGTTTTGCCCCGTTTGCCCAGGTTGAGTCCCAGCGAAGGAAACAATCCAATTCCACCCCCAAAAGGAAAAATCTACGCACCCAAAATGGAAACCTTGCTCAGAAATTCTTCGTACATTTTCCGTTTTCTCAACGTGCTGCCCTGTTGTGAAAGAGAAAGGGGGGGAAGAGGAAAAGGGGGGGAAAGAAGAATTAATGTTATCCACATCGCTGCCAACCTCAAAGGAGATCTTAAGGGTCAAGGCGCAAAGCAAAACAACAATACACTCGAGAACAAAATAATCCCCATTTCCTTGAGCCCACGGAGTTCCCACCAAGCGTTTATCTCGCCCCTTTGTAAATTGGATCGGGTGGAATTTTTAAGCGGGTGGAATTTTAACGTCGGCGGATGGGGCACCAATGTCCGTGCAGTGGGGAGACCCCACACCCTTCCCTTCCCTTCCCAGCCGCTTCAAAACAGCGTAAAAAACTCAACTACGATCCACATCTTGATGGGCTAATGAGTGTGAAGAATCGATTCGAGCCCGCAGTCGCACATCTAAAAGGACCTAGAGTTAAGCAGATAATCGGACACTTCCCAGCTTTCTCCTCGCCAGTTTAGGAAGACAAAAAGCAGAGGGTTGTTTGTCCGTCTGTGCCCCCCAACCCCCGCTTCCCAATTTGGATGGTTGAGCCGTAAACAAACAGGAATGTTTGCTTACAAAGAGAGAAAAAGGGCCCAAATTCTCCTTGGAGGGGCTAGCACAGAGGTCTGCAATCTTAAACACTCAAAAGAGCCATTTGAACCTGTTTCCCACAGAAAAGAAAACACCGGGAGCCACAAAACCTTTCCTGTGTCTGACTATTTCTTGAGCGGCCACAAAACTAGCATATGTAGTTGAATTAAACGTTCTGTTTTCTTCCGAAACTTTTCTTTTCTTGGATTTATCCATGGTTGGCCTACCGGGGGTTGAAAAGCTCAATAAATCACGTGCCGGGCGGGTGTCGCACATTGGCGGTTGTGATGCATATTTTGAGCGACAGGGAGCCGCAGCAGAGGGGTGAAAGAGCCACATGCGGCTCCAGAGCCGCAGGTTGCTGACCCCTGGCATAGTGCAATTCTAGGAAGGGAGGAAGAACGCGACTGGCCAGACGAGAGAAAGGAAAGGGATTATTGGACACATGTGTTAATTTTGGTCATCATATTGCCAAAAGGATGTTGAGTGCAGAGAAGAGCAAACGAAGATGATGAAAGGCCTGGAGGCTAAAACACATGAAGAAAAGGTTGCAGGAATTGGGTTTGGCTAGTCTAGAGGAAAGAAGGACTGGGGGGGACAGGGTATTCCAGTATTGGGGGGGTGGCTGGCAGAAAGAAGAGGGGAGCCAACTTATTTCCCAAAGCACCTGACAAGAAACCATGGATGGAAACTCATCAAGGAGAGAAGCAACCTGGAATTAAGGAGAAACTTCCTGACAGTGAGGACAATTAGCCAGTGGAACAGCTTGCCACCAGAAGTTGTGGGTGCTTCATCACTGGAGGTTTTTAAGAAGAGACTGGACAGCCACTTGTCTGAAATGGTCTAGGCTCACCTGCTTGTGCAGGGGGCTGGACTAGAAGACCTTAAAGGTCCTTTCCAGCTCCATACTCTACTCTACTCTACTCTACTCTACTCTACTCTACTCTACTCTACTCTACTCTACTCTACTCTCCTACTCTACTCTACTCTGCTCTACTCTGCTTTACTCTACTCCTCTACTCTGCTCTGCTGTGTCCTACTCTACTCTTCTACTCTGCTCTACTCTGCTCTACTCTGCTCTACTCTGCTTTACTCTACTCCTCTACTCTGCTCTGCTGTGTTCTACTCTACTCTCCTACTCTGCTCTACTCTACTGCTCTACTCTACTACTCTATACACTACTATACTCTACTCTCCTACTCTGCTATGTTCTGCTCTACTACTCTACTCTCCTACACTCCTACTCTGCTCTGCTCTGCTTTACTACTCTACTCTACTACTCTGCTCTACTCTACTACCTCTACTCTACTCTACTCTCTTACTCTCCTCTGCTCTACTACTCTACTCTCCTACTCTGCTCTGCTTTGCTCTACTCTACTACTCTACTCTGCTCTACTACTCTACTCTACTACTCTGCTCTACTCTTCTCTACTACTCTACTCAACTCTCCTACTCTGCTTTACTCTACTCCTCTGCTCTGCTCTGCTCTACTCTCCTACCCGGCTCTACTCTACTACTCTACTCTAGTCTATTCTACTCTACTCTCCTACTCTGCTCTGCTCTGCTCTGCCCTGCCCTGCCCTGCTCTGCTCTGCTCTACCCATTTCTGTTTTTTTCCAGCCTCATCCAGATTTGCTGGGACAGTCACCCCCAGGATTCCCAAGCAGCATGGCTGGAGATCCTGCCAGCTATTTGGGGGCGGGGGGGGGGGGGGGGGGAGACTGTAACCTTCCCTTTCCTACAGTCTTCCTGGATGTCCATTGCTGTTCAAATCCAGGTGTGCATTTTTTCCTTCCAAAATGGAGGAGGGTGCAATTTCCGGAGCCCCGGAATGGCCAGACATTCCCCACAGCAAAGGCTCACAGCTCAGTGTAGGACCAAGGAGGGAAAAACTGGACAGCCTCCCACACCAATCCGGAAGACTGGGAAGTTGCCAGTGGCCAGCAGACACTGACAGCTGGAGAAAGAGGAGCAGGTGTCTGCCCCACGCCCACGGGCTGCAATGGGGCGGGTGGAGGGGGGGAAGAGAGAGAGAGCAGATCCGGAAGTGGCATCCTGCCTTCCAACCATCTGTGGGTTGCCCAAAAATTTTAAGAAGCAGTGGGGCTCTCCACCCCACGGAGGTAATTAAAACCAGAGTTAGGTTAGGATTCGGTGGGGAGGGAAGGACGCAGGGCGAAAAAGAAAAAGGGGATATCAAATTAAAACTCCACTTTCTGGCTTCTCAAGAGTTGCAAATCTCTCTGTTGCTCTTTAGCAAATGCCAATGAGAATTGCCTGTTGGGGCAGCCAATGGCCAAGTGACTCCTTAAAGAAACTCCAAGTTCTGTCTTCTTTCTTTCTTTCTTTCTTTCTTTCTTTCTTTCTTTCTTTCTTTATTTATTTATTTATTTATTTATTTATTTATTTCTCACTCTCTTTCTCTCTCCTCCCTCCCTTCCTTCCTTCCTTCTTTCTTTCTTTCTCTTTCTCTTTCTCTCACCTTCCTTCCTTCTTTCTTTCTTTCTCTCTCTCTCTCCTTCCTTCCTTCCTTCCTTCCTTCTTTCTTTCTTTCTTTCTTTCTCCTCCCTCCCTTCCTTCCTTCTTTCTTTCTTTCTCTTTCTCTCTCCTTCCTTCCTTCCTTCCTTCCTTCTTTCTTTCTTTCTTTCTTTCTTTCTCTCTTTCTCTCTCCTTCCTTCCTTCCTTCCTTCCTTCTTTCTTTCTTTCTCTCTTTCTCTCTCCTTCCTTCCTTCCTTCTTTCTTTCTTTCTTTCTTTTTCTTTCTTTCTCTCTCTCTCTCCTTCCTTCCTTCCTTCTTTCTTTCTCTCTTTCTCTCTCCTTCCTTCCTTCTTTCTTTCTTTCTCTCTCTCTGCTTCCTTCCTTCCTTCTTTCTTTCTTTCTCTCTCTCTCTCTCTCCTCCCTTCCTTCCTTCCTTCCTTCTTTCTTTCTTTCTTTCTTTCTCTCTTTCTCTCTCCTTCCTTCCTTCCTTCCTTCCTTCTTTCTTTCTTTCTTTCTCTCTTTCTCTCTCCTTCCTTCCTTCCTTCTTTCTTTCTCTCTTTCTCTCTCCTTCTTTCTTTCTTTCTTTCTTTCTTTTTTTTCACCAGCCATAAAAAGGGAACAAAAAGCGAGATCCCTTCGGTTGGAGTGATGTTGCAGGACGGAGAGGGGGAAATGTCATGCCAAAGGTAAACAAAAGGCCAATGGAGTGGAGGGACTGATCCCCTTCCAAAGGCTGTTATATATTACCGTCTCTGATCCCAAGGCAACTCCATTAAATCACATGCTAAGGTTCGCTCGGGGCGATCCCGTTCCAGATTGTAACATGTGTCTTTGATCGGAGCAGTACACAGAAGGGAACAGGTTTTGTCCCCACACACAAACACACGTCCCAAGGTCACTCGCAGCACCCAAAATCAATTCTGAAGCCGCTGCAAGAGATGGATGGGTTATGAAGTCAAGTGTGGTCAGGAGACGAATGTGTCAAGCATTGAGATCACGGTAGCCTGGTTCAGTGGGGGAATTCAAAAATTTTTTACTACCCCCACGCCCACCAAGCCACGCTGTGGGCATGGCTTGGTGGGCGTGAAAGGGGAAGGGGAAGGATACTGCAAAATTCCCATGCCTTCCCCATGCCTGGGGGAAGGATATTGCAAAATCCCCATTCCCTCTTCAATCCTGGGGGAAGGATACTGCAAAATCTCCATTCCCTCCCCACTCCTGGGAGAAAGATACTGCAAAATTCCCATTTCCTCCCCAATCTAGGGGAACGATACTGCAAAATCCCCATTCCCTCCCCACTCCAGGGGAAGGATACTGCAAAATCCGCACTCCAGGGGAAGATTACTGCAAAATCCCCATTCCCTCCCCACTCCAGGGAGAAGGATATTGCAAAATCCCCATTCCCTCCCCACTCCAGGGGAAGGATACGGCAAAATCTCCATTTCCACCCCACACCTGGGGGAAGGATATTGCAAAATCCCCATTCCCAGCCCACTCTGGGGCCAGCCAGAGATGGCATTTGTCGGTTCTTCTCCGAACGACTCAAAATTTCCACCACCGGTTCTCCAGAACCTGTCAGAACCTGCTGGATTTCACCTCTGGCCCTGGTCCCATTGTACACCCTTTTAGCGGACCTTCTCCCTAAATCTGGAGAACCTCAACTGAAAGTATGCAGCATGTGGAAACCTACAAAACAGCTGGATCTTTCCTTGGGTCCGTGCAACTGCCAAGAAGCTTCTTGGATGAGAAGCCAAACGCCTTCAAAGAAAAGGAAAGTCCAGTGGCCTCTTGCAAAAAGTACCTTTGGAACAGCCATGACCTGGAGGATGGAGAATCTCCACAGACATGCCAAGATGTCGCACCAATCAACCCAGGGGGTAAAAAATGGATTAAAAGTCCACGTGCCGACAAAGAGCTACCTATGCACCTTCCATTGTTGCAAAGTTTCA